TATGGAGTGGCTGATTTTTTACAATCAGCCATAGAAAATTTGTGAAGGATGGCGGCCTATGGCGAATTTTGGCAAACCACCATGCACGGCCATCCGCCATTAATAACACTGAAGACAGTTTCTACCACTGTCAGCTTTATCAGCCTCAAGGCCCCCAACTTAGGTATTTCGGAGTTTTTCTTTATCAGCGACTATTATAAATTATACTCTATTAGGAATTTATTTTACGTTTTTTTTCTTTAATAAATGATATATATTTAAATTCATTGGAGTTTATGGTTTGGGACTTGAATGGTTGAAGAGAATAAAGTGGTGACTTACATTCACGGAATTAATTAGAAACCTAGAAGTTAGATTTACTAAAACTTAAAAATGTAGACAAGGTGTTTGATAAAATACCAGTTGCCTTCTCAGTTATAACAACAACAGCAACAATAATAATAATAATTAGCTTATTTGTTAGTCCGACTCTTCTGTTCTTTCTTTTTTTGTCTACAGCTGTCTTGCTTATTTCAGTTGTTATTTTTCCATTTCTGTGCTTCAGGCTTTGTAAATGGCATCTGATTAAAACAACATCGGGTGATATGGGTTGGAACTTTGGTGTACTAGCTGATTCAACTAAAGACAGGCTCAAATGCTTGTTATATGAGAAAGCTATGTTCGGCGGTAATTGTAGACTGAAAAAGCACGCAGGTCAAATTCCAGGGAATGTTGTTTCTTTCTTGCACTAAAGCAACAAAAGGAGATGAAGCCAAATGTAGATGCAGTAGTGAGTTCCCAAGAGGATAAAGAAGAATAAACTTGAAGAAGAGATTCTATCTTCTGTTACTTCAAAGAGGCCTTGTCAACAGCAATAAAATGAGAAATCATCTCACTCCCTTGGTACAATGAACAATTAATGATGCTCTCTGGAAAGAACGATCAAATTTGGTGAAAACTGTTTAGGTTGCGATTGGAAATAAAAACTTTTGGATTAGATTTGATATGTGAGTTAATTTTGAATAATTGATTGAGTGGAGATTTTGAGTGTGTTTAAAATAATATGTACTATTAAAGTTGATGCGATATAAAAATAGGAGAGAGGTGAATAGATGGGTAGTTAAGAATATGTGAATTGCTGAATAATGAATTAAAGTTCATGAATTACATGATGTGCTACAATGATTGACTAACAACAACAAAGCCTTTAGTCCCAAGCAAGTCGGGGTAGGCTAGAGATAAAACCCAAGAGAACCATCGGTAAGAGAAACATAAAAGGGGCTTGAAACAAAAGGAAGAGATTGGAGCAAAAGAGAAAGGAGCAAAAGTCACGGTTCTGGCACGTTGATTGCTAGCCTCCAAGCGCTCCTATCTACCGCTAAATCCTTGGAGATATTCCAATCTTTAAGGTCTTTCTTAACCGACTCTTCCCAAATGAGTTTAGGCCGACCTCTACCTCTCTTTACGTCCTCGAACCGCTGTAGAACTCCCCTACGCACCGGTGCATCAGGAGGCCTCCGTTGAACATGTCCGAACCACCTCAGCCGATGTTGCACCAATTTCTCCTCAATTGGAATTGAGCCACCCCGACCCTATCTCGAATATCTTCATTATGGATTCTATCCCTTCTTGTGTGCCCGCAGAACCAACGCAACATACGCATCTCTGCTACACTTAGTTGTTGGATATGTTGCCTTTTTGTAGGCCAACATTCAGCAACGTATAGCATCGCCGGACGAATCGCCGTCCTATAAAACTTACCTTTTAGCCTTTGTGGTACCCTCTTATCACATAGAACGCCAGAAGTTTGCCGCCATTTCAACCAACCAGCTGCAATTCTATGCCTAACATCAGCATCAATGCCGCCATCCTTTTGTAGCATCGATCCTAAATACCGGAATTATACTAATATTATTTAATTATACTGATAATATCGAGAATTGAGTTGGATTAAATTTGAGTTCAAATGTGTTAAAAAATTATCCGGATAAAATTTGCGTCCAATCGCAGCCTTAAGCTGATTGGATTAATGAAGCTGGCATATCTTTTAATGTGCTCGACCTTCATAGCTTTTGGCTATTTACTGAAGCAGTTAGGTCAATTTTCCTATCCCATATAAAATGAGAAATCCATTGTTGAAGAAAGCGATTAAAACTTGAAAGAACCAAAAATTCAAAGTTAAGCCTCATGAAGACAAATGGAAGAGGAGTGATTGCTCGATTAAGACGGATGCTTGAAGCGATTGAAAGAGAAGAAGCAACATGAATTTTTGTGTGTGAAATCTAAAGGCGGCACAATATTTCTCTCTTATAAAGGAATCTTATGATGTGACCCACACAACCGAAATGATATTAGAGTATGTGGATCATTACATCGAGCAAATTGGGCAGAGAAAGATATTCAAGTAGTAACAAACAATGCTCAAATAATATGGATGCGGCAAAGATATTGCATGGAAAGAGACCATCTTTTAGACTTCATGTTCATTGAACAAGCAAATGCAATGACTATCTTCATTTAAGCACATCATAAGACCTTAGGCCATAGGCCATGATGTAGTCTTATACTAAAAGAAAGAACATAGTCGGTTTCGCACAATTCGCTTATTCATTCCTTAACTTGCAAAGTCTGATGGAGAAAAAAATGCAGACTTAAAGGCTATGTTTAGTAGTTCTGAGTGGGAGAATGCAAATGGTCCAGGATGGCAAAAGAGAAATCAAGTTATAAAACTATGATGCTTTTGGAATGGTGTGAGATCTTGTCTGACCATTTATGCTCCTTTGGTAAAGAATCTTCGTATAATGGATGCCAAGAGAAAGCCATCGATGAGTTTTTTGTATGGGGAGCTTATGCAGGCAAACAAGATATACATATTGTCTTGAACAATTGTGGCAAGAACTACGACCACATCGAGAATATGAATGGTAAAGCGGACACCCCGTTGCATATATGACCTATCTGCTAAATCCTTATAATAATGACAATAATCCACATCTCATATTAGACCAAGTTGTTTCGAATGGAGTTTGTCATTTGTCACGAAAACTTGAATTGATGGATAAATTATGAATGCTGAGCTATTAATTTACTAGACAAAAGGAGTTCTTCGGAAGCTAATGGTAAAAAGGTGTGAAGTAAACGGCGACAAGTTTGATCCAGGTAAATGAGAACAAATTTTTATTAAATTTTAGGTTTTATATTTGTTAATCTTCTCATATTTTGGCTTCTTGAGTTATGTGTGGGTAAAATTAACCACAAGCTAGTGAAAGGAATTGGAGTGTATTCAAAGAGGTAGTTGGATATTTCTTTTTCTTAAAATTTTTTTTTTCATTATTCCATTGTTACCATTTTTCTTGACATATTATATTTTACTTATATGTATTTTGGTATACATATACATATTACATACAAAGAGAAGGAATCGACATGCTTCACGAATGAAGAATCTAGTCTATGTCCAATAAAATTCTCATTTATTAGACGGGCGCAAGTAAGAGAATTAAGAAAGATGTGTTGCATGCTAGCAACACAAGTAAAGCACAAAGGTGAATTATTCCATGAGTGGTCGACGACGAAGATGAGGAGGTTATGTTGATAGTTCTAGAGTGTGAGCTTGAGGAAGAGAATTTGAATCCAAGGAAGAGAAACAACTTAATGAGAATGATACTGACTTTAAGTCGGATGAAGAGCATTGTATTGGAGAATAATGGAGAAGATTTTTTTTTACTTGAGAGTAATTCATAGTTACTTGTTCTGAGTAGTTCGTTTGCTTTAATTTGTTCAAGAAATATTTTAATAGACTAATCATGTCGTCATGTTTTCTTTTGAGCATTTGTGTTTGACATTATTCAGTTCTGGACTTGTGGCCATGTGGGGCATTTCTTTTGAATATTGGAAATGAGATGTGTGGAACTGTACGAATAATTTCATTTGTTTGAGTTTTTTTATTTACTATTAAAGTGGGTTGGGGAAAAATAAACTAAAAATTAAGCTATTTAAACTTAATTTCAAACTTTAAGCTTAATTTCTAGGTCTCGCCTAGGTGCCTATATAGCGTCTAGGCCGCCTAACGATTTTTAGAACCTTAGCAATTAGTAACCAAAGATTTATAGTGGTAACGTAACAGGTGAATTGAATTGCAGGCATGCCACGTTTCTTCAGTTATATGGAAACTGAATGAAAATTTGTAAGATATAATCCCTTAGTGAAGTGCAACTTCCTTGCACTTTCATTACACTTTCATGGCAGCCACTTTAGGCTGAAAAATTTTCAGCTTAGGAAATTTCTAGGAAAGCCACTAGAATAGTTGTTTTTAGTTCTTATAAATAGGTGCAGTTTTATTTGTAAACATAAGACAAAAAACTGAATACTCAATACATTGAGTTGTTCAAAATCTTCTACTTCTATCCTAAAAGTGTCCGTTTGTGCCGGGAAGCATTTTTGCTTACCCGAACAGTGCAGCCCAGCTGCAAACAGAGCAGCCAAGCTGTGAACAAAAGCCAGCAACAGCGATCCAGGACTAACAAAATTCTCAAACAAACAATCCTCCGAAAAATTTTTGCCACATATAAAACTCTAGCCTCTACTCATGAGTTATACATATTCTTCAAATTAACTTAAAACTTAAACCAGAGATTTATAACAAACTCTAGCTTCCTAACTAGATAGTCGCTTCTGAAACTCATTTAATTGAAAATAAAAAAGATGGCAAAAGTCACGCTTGAAACTGATGAGTAAAGTAACATAACGGAAAAGTCGCAGTTAAAGGATGAGAAGAATATAGTCAATAAACTTCCAACAGAAAAAATCAGCCAATGTATGAGTAAGTGACGAATATGTACATGCTAAACATAATTCTAAAAATTACATATTATGTCCAGATCTCAATTTAAGTTAACTCAGAACATCAATCAATGTAGATAAAATAAAGAATAGCAAGTTGATTATAGCCTGAGGTTATGTTCAACTCTCAAATATGCAAAGCAGCAAATTTTGGGATGAAATGCACGTAACGAATAAGTTCAGAGCTTACCAATCTCATTGCTAGCTTTTGCTGAAGCAGGGTACAAAACTCTGCACCTTGGATTTCCATTATCCGGTAGCTCAACTGCCAAAACCTTGCCAATAGCTGAGATCACAAAATCAAGTTACATGCTTTTCTTTCTTTTCCAACCTGGACATCTCTAACTCTGTTGTTATTCATAATATAAAAGTCTGGAACTAGCTTTAAACACCTTTTGATGGCGCAAAAGCCACGTTCAGGCTTTTTCTCAGAGACGGCTGAATTTTTTCAAAAACACATGCGGTACCAGCTCCAACAACTCCAACAGTAACTTTTGGTGTACCTGCAGCTCTGTGGACCAAAAGCTTCTGTGTCTGAACTATCATCTTAATTCATTTATATAAGTAGCAAGTAGAAAATTTCTTTAAACGAGACAATTGTAAATCAGTTTGAGCTGAAATGGTCCGAAGATTTCACGGTTATATATCTTCTCTAACTAAAAGGTGCATGGCGTACAGTTCTTCCAAGGAAGAAGCGCCTCAGGATTTTATGATTCTATAAGGTTGAAACAATCATATTACAAGACTAAAACAGGATGTACACAAAGTGCAATTCACATAGCGCAATTAGATAGATTTTCCCCAAACCAACTAGAAAAATTATCACATTTTGCTAGTGGTGTTATGGAAGATAGCTTGCTGAGTGCAAGACCCATGCTGGCAATAATAGAGACCTAAGGCTACAATCAGTTGACTAAGAAGGCGGTTTTCTGGTTTTAACCAAGATAGATATTATAAAAACCAAAACTTCCACCAATATGAAAAGTGGACCTTTGTAGAGGGATGCATTGTCAACTGAAAAGTTCTCCACACAACCGAAGGCAAGATTACTGGTCAAATCTGTTCGATGAAATAAATCTAATTAACTAGTTGTAACTTGAAAGGTAGACCAAGACACGTTGCAGATCCTAGTTTTAAGCTTGGATCAATTTAATTTAGCTTGTTAATATCCTTTTCCAGCATAAGTGTTGGAAATGTATGAAAACACTCTGATGAATTCCAGTTTCCGCACATTTTTCCACACATTTTAATGTATTTTATTGACAATTCAAAACATATTAATCAATTTAGTCACCAGCGCGGAAATAATTTAATTAAAGCAGAAATATTGCAGAAGCAGCTCTTACTTCCAAGCATCAAGAAAAACCAAGCCAGCTTCAGGTGAAGTTATGATGATCCAGTCAAATGAACTGTCTGCAACACAAGGACAGCCAGACATCAAAGACGCAAATGAATTAGCATTTCCATTAGGGATCATCAAATTTTAACAACATGAACTGATATATTTCAAACACGCATGTGCTCATGCATGCACACACACACACAATAAAATAACAACAAATTAACAATCAACTTGCAAAAGATGATATAAAAGGTTTCAGTGCTGTAGCTTCTTCATGGGTATTTATGGTGTAAATGATGGGAGCATGATATCCATATGAATTGGTCCTGAGATTGGAGATTGGTGAAACTCTTTGAATTTTCACCAGTTTCATTAGCCATACACATTTATCCTTAACTGATCTTAGAAAACTAATTTTTCAACCTTTTAAGTTTTAATGGAACTTAGAGCAGCTCGAAGTATGAAGAGCAATACATCCAAATTTTTTAATAGTTTATTAGTTTGTTGAACATAAAATGGCATGTTGGATGCATCAGTGCCTACAAAAAGTACCGCAGGACCAACACGATACAAGTGATTTATCAGAGACTCGGTAAGTTAGGAAAATAATACACATATATGAGACCTCCATAGCACATAAACAGGGACTAAGCCATCACATAAACCATGAAATAAGCCATGAACTGATGGAATCAACAGGAACTTACTGCTCAATAAAGAAGAAAGCTTGTCTACATCAGATAACTTAGTATGCTGGATTAGAGGCAGCTCTAGACAGGTAATCCTGCGATTTGCCTAGAAATGGAAACATATTACAGACCCATACAACATATAAAAGAACATTCTCAAGAGTTACGTCATTCAGATGATGCATCATAAGAACGACTATATCATAATGCAAATTGCTAAAAGATGAGGGGTAAGAAACTTCATTACATATTAAGTTATATATTGTGAGGAACTTCGAATCAGGAACCACAGAAAAAGCATGACAGAAAAGAAATGTAATATAATTTCAGTAAAACCAAACATATAACTTATGCTCCTGCTGCTGACA